CGTAACTCCCCCCCTTTTTAAACGCCGACATGCACTATAAAATTAGAAATTCTCCTTAAGGAGCTTTTTCGTTGCAAGTATTTATAATACATGCATATTACAAATGCAGTGTAAATTTAATTGAATTTTGATTTTTTGTTGGTTGTACTAAAACCGCCAAAATCCCTTTTTATCTTTGGTTTGTTGAAAAATGAAACACATTACCTTTTGATTTTTTTCAAGTGCATGATTGAGATAGTAGCTGGGAATGGCATGGGGTTGTTGATTAGGGGTTAATTTTAGGGTTGGCACAGGGAAGTTGACCTGGGGACAAAGATGAGTTGGCCAATGAACTTTTGTGCATGGTCACCCTCATTTGTGATGTCATTGGCATGGATCGCAATTGTGTGGTTATTGTCATCGTCTGGGGTTTGTCGATGCGGGTTTTGGGTTAACATGGCCCATGAGACATTTTCCTTCTTTTCCTCCTTGGGAGATGGAGAGAATGGGGTAACTCCTTGTCAGATGGTAATTGTAGTAAGACGTACTAAATGATTTAAGGTGAGGTACAAAAAGAGAGGTGAGCGTTTGTAAAGTTAGTGCATTGGAACAAGAGAGAAGAGAGACATTAATATTGCTTCTTTTAAGCCGACTCCACTTAGTGGGATAAAGGCTTGTTGCTATTGTTGCTATTGTTGCTGTTGTGTGTGTGTGTGTGTCTATATCTATCTATCTATCTATCTATATATATATATATATATATATATCAATTTTAATTTCTTAGCAATTTTGAGAGATTTATGTTAAAAGATTATTTTTTGTCACTAATGGAAACACAAAAATTGAAGAAGAAATTGTCAATGAGTTGTAGCAATACATGGTATTCTTTGTTATTGAAAAATGAAAACAGGGAACTTATCCATTGGAAATTGTATTGTGTGTAAAAAAGGGAGGAATGTGGGGAGAGGACATGCCAACTTTTGAAAAATGTTCGTAAACATTAATTGGATGCCACCTCATACAAATCTTTTATCAAAATGGCGTTGGTAGCGGGCTCTGCTAGGGTTTCGCCAGATGGCGATTTCCGGCGTTGAATCTCTCGGCTTCACTCCTTCATCGTCTCCCACTACGAAGGTTTTCACGTATGCTCGCGGGTCCTGTCTCTCAGTCGACGATGATCGCTCGTAGGTCGTCTTCACCGTCTGACGGCTTGCCCGAAGAGGCTGACAACGGTCTCGCTCGTCGTCGACGGTTTCCTCTCGCAGTTTGATGCGCCTGGGTCTGCTCGTGTCGTCGCAAATTGACGCGGCTGTCTGCACGCACCTGACAGACGGTTCGCACCGACTCGCCAAGCGTGTCGCCTTGCTGATTGACACGCCTCTCTGCTCCTTTTTTCTAGCGGCTCACTTAGCCGCTGTGGAGATGACATCGACGATGCGTTTTTATGTCACTGCACTTGTCGACGACTTTCCTATTCCTAATTGTGCTCCTCTTTCAGGTTTAGAGCCTGGTTTTCATATTGACAAGTCCTACAATGTTCCACAATCTTTTCATGACGCTCTTGAAAGTGGTGGTGACCGCATTTTCATTAAAAAGCTTGGTAAAAAAAATGAGAAGTCTCCTCTTATTCTCATTAAGTTTGAAACCAGTACTCTCGCATCCTCTTGGCGTTTTGCTCTAGTGGGGAAATTCTTTTATGGTCACCCAAACCTTGAGATCATTCGAAAAGATTTTGATGCTATGAAGTTATTAGGCAGTTGAAATATTGGATTACTTAACGGTCGACATATATTTATTCAGTTATCTTACGATGCCGATTATATTCACATTTTTTCTCGAAAAGTTATCAAGATCGATAACCGTTTTATAAAAATTCTTAAGTAAACTGTCGATTTTGATTCAAAAGCGGAGTCACCTATCATTTCTGTTTGAATAAAGTTTCCGGGTTTAAAATTACATCTGTTCAACTTGGAAATTATCTACTCCTTAGCAACTGCTTACGGTAAGTCTCTCAAGGTTAATAGTTCTACGCTTGCTGTTACCAGACCCTCTATGGCTTGTGTGTTAGTTGAGAGAGATATCACTCAACCAGCTCCGGATAAGGTATGGATTGACACCACTCACAATGGATATCACTCAACCAACTCCTTATTACTCTCATTGTAGTATGTTTGACCACAATTTTACTATTTGCTATCGCTTGCATCTTCATCTAAGACCGGATACCACTAAAGATCAGTCACCTACCATTCCTACTGAGAATGTGCAACCCGATCCTCTTTTCAACACCGCAGTTCCTGATGAAGAATATCATACTACAGGTACATATCCATATCCAAATGTGCTTATACCCTTATACCACTCACTGTATTGAAGAATACCCGCTTGCATGCCAAGACACACGAGAGTTCTCCTTCGATCTGATTAAAGATCAACTGGTACAACAAATAGTTATTTTTAATGTTCAACACCCTACATATGTCCGACACATTTTAGACCAATCAACTGATTAGGTGAGTCAATCTTCGGATGAAGAATGTCAGGTCTATTCCAGGAGGAAGAAGAAGAATAGAGGTTGAGTCGAGCTCGGGAACTTATTGGATGACACATTGGTTACCATTGACAATGTCACTCATCTTACCAATTTATTAGCTAGCTCCTTCCCTAGAACTAGAGGCAGAGACAAAAGACAAAATTGGGTCGCTCTTTAACTACTTGATACTCCGTATTTTGAAACTTTTTAGTTTTTTCTTTTTGTCTCTCATGTATCTTTCTGTATTTCCCCTTTTGGAATCATTTGAATGTGATGTTTATCGTGTGATCAGAGTGTCTTGTTTGGGCCCTCCCACACAATATATCTGTATCATACTTTCTATTTTATATATTAGCCATTAGGCTTTCTCAAAAAAAAAAAAAAAAAAGTATGCATACAACTATCATTTAATAGAAGCAATATTAAATTCAAGACTTATAAGAGATTTTTCAAGAAAAAAAATTTGATGTTACATATGGAAACTCATAATGAAAGAATAAATTGCCAATGAGTTGTAGCAATACATGGTATTTTTTGTCATAAAAAAATAAAAGCTTGGAACTTATCCATTGGAAATTGTATATATTTAATCTAAAATTCGATATGCATTTGCGGTGGTTGACAATAGTCATTGTCATTTTATGCTCGCCACACGTTGGTCATTACATCCCTTTGTAAGTTGAAGTGATTGCGATATTGACATGGAGTTGGTAACTCTTGGTTTTATCTCACTGATACAGATTAATGGTGAGATAGATGAGTCATGAGTTGTGGAAATGAACATATTCGCTTGAAATTGAACTTTGCTTTGTGGTTTTGTTTTGTTTATTTTCCTTATAAGATATCAAAATTTGATGACAAAAAAAGATTTTGCAATACTACAATCAAGCAGGCAACACTGTTTTGCAAAAAAAGGGATTCTGAAAGGGAAGTTCAATATTGTAAAAAAGTCTAATGTGTATCCTATTAAAATTAAAAAGAATGAATTGAGAAATTGTTAAGTAGGAGCATTGCTTCTTCAGGATAGATATTATAGTAAAAGAAAATGTTTCATGCTTATGCATGCTGTAGAGCAAAAGATCATGCATACTAAGTACAAATGTTAAATAGTATTAGAAAATATCAACCTTTATAGAAGAATTGAACGTATAACTTCTGAGTCATACAAAAACGTTTCACAAGTAGGTAATGAAGAATAGGCTTAAAAAAATTATATTGGCGTCTAATTTCATTTTATTCTCAGAAGATATACTTTGGACGAAATTTTGTACTAAAACAATGATAAAAAATTGAGACCAATGCAATGATCTTATTGTGGTCATTGTTTACTTTGAGAAAGGCATCTAATGCTACTAGAATATATTTAGCGAACTTTAATAAGAAACATGGTTCTATTGAAGTTATCAAAGCATCTTGGAGCAATAATGTGCATTGAGAGTTTTTAAGGATAACATGATTACATTAAAAATCTAAACAAGAATCGTGCCTTTTATATTGGTTATGGAGATGTTTGGAGAAAAAATGTCTAGAAGTAGATATTTTGTATGCTATTTACGGATGGCATAATTATGATAAGTTAGTCCTCTTCACAAATAAAACATTTAGTAATGGAGCAAATTTTTTAAGAACATATGGGGCTTAATTCCTAATGTAAAGTTTGATTTAAGTGATATAAAATTTTAGCCAGTGTGGATTTGATGATCAATAGTTAATATTACCGTAAAAATTAAGCATATTTAATTCTTAGTGGTTATATATCTTATATCTATCGCATAAATAAATGAAGATATTGTCACTATAATTATAGTTTTAAAGTTAATTATCAAAATGGAGAAG